TTATAATTTATAACCATTCTAACTTTTTTCCTAACCTATTCAGAATGTTTCATAACCATAAAAGCTGGACTACGATGAGATTTATTACTTGGTCTTATAAGTTTCTGTTCTAACAATTTTTTTATCTGATTTTTAAATTCTTGTATATCTTTTATAGTATACATTATTGGTCTAACTCTTATTATAACATTTTCTGTTAATTCTATTTTGGCTTTTGGATGATGTGGTTTCCAAAATAATAATGGATTTTCTCTATAAACTTTTTCTAATTGTTCAATAATTTTTTCATACTTATTTCTATTCCTGTTTTTAGTACTTTTTTATATAATACTCGTTTATTTTTTATTTCATTAAATATGATTGATTTTTTCTCTCATTTATCATCACACTGGGCTGACTGAACTCTATAAGGTTTAAATTCTCTTAAAATTTTTAATAAGTGCCAACAAGGTGTTTGTAGCATTATCATATAATTATTTTGTTTATAATATTAAAATTGTTATATAAAGTCATTTTCTAATAATATATCATACTCTAATTTATCATATTTATATATTTTATTTATTATAACTTCTTTACTTCCAAGAGTTATACTAACTTTATCAACACTATTTATTATTTATGTACTTTCTTCGGTGACTCCAGTTATTTTTATGTTACTATTATTATTCCATGATTTTATCAGAAAACTTTTAAATATTGTTATATCACTCCCTGTGTCTATTAAAACACAAGTTGCTATATTTGTTTCTATAATAGTAACTTGTATATATATAGTTTATGAAAAACTTATCTGATTGTTCATTTAGTTCTTTTTACATAATATAATTTGTTTATTATGTACTATGTATAATCCTTATCTTTTTATACTATAATCTTCTAATCCATTTAGAAAAAAACTCATTCTTAAAAGTATATGAAGATTTATATTCATACTTTTATCTATATAACATGGTACTAAAAGATTTATTCCTTATATTTTTATTAGTACCTTAACTTCCAAATCTGTAATATATACCTGTCCATCAAAATTTACTTATCTATATGGATCGATTTTATGAGTTATTAATCCTTTATTTCTAATTGAAGTTATATGACATTCACTAGCTCCTGTGTCTATTAATATATTTGGTCCATTTATATATTCTCCTTCTATTTTCATATTTTCAGTATTTCTATATAATTTTACTTCTTTTATATTAATAAATTCTTCTAACTTGTTTTTATTAGGTATTCTAAGATTTTTTGATATTTTAATTAATTTTCCATCCTTAAATGTTATATTATTAAAATATTCTCCTTCATTTAATTATGTTATTTCAGATTTATTTTTTGTTATGTTAAATTCATATTCTTCTGGAAAAAAATTTATTTGTTTATTTGGTTCTATTATTTTGCTAATATCCTTACATTCTTTATATACCTCAATATAATGTTTATTGGAATAAATATTTCCATAATCAGAATTGGTAAATGTATATAAAGTTTTATACTCTATAATCATAATTTGATCACCTGGTTGCATGATATCATTTCTATACAGCTTAAAACGTAGTCCTAAAACTTCATTAAAATTTCTATCTTTTAATGAAACACAATATTTTGGTTAACATGTAAACATTATTTTTTGATATGCCAAATTTCCTTCTATTGTTTCTAAATGATTATCTTTTAAATTTATTATTCTTCCATCATGTAAGGTTATAGTTAAGGATGAATCTATTCCTTCTCTAAATAATGATTTAAACATTATTTGTATTCCTACTAAATAAACATATTGAATTTTTCATTTTGTTTTTTACTAACATTTGTTAATAGTTTTTTAACTGTATTTTTTGTTAAAAGATTTAATTTATGTTGTCCATATGTTGTTCTTATATCTATGATTTTTCCTATTTTGTGATATTCATTTATTGCTATCTTTTCTCTTTTTCAAATTCTATCTAAGACTTCCTATTACCCTATTTTTAAATCTAAAGATAATTTTTGTAATTTTCTAAATTTATTGTCATCAAAGATAACTTTTAATCCATATCATTCTATTCCTTCATATTCTTATATATTTATATTATTACTTTCTATTTCCTCTATTTCTTTATTCAGATTCTGATTTATCATCATCTATTTTACTTATATAAACTTCTTGATTATAATATTTTTCAATATCTGATATTTCACTCAATTCATCTATTATTTTCAAATATTCTTTTTGTAATATTTTAACTTTATTTTTATCACAATCATGACTTATATGATCTATTTCCCTACAATTTCAACATTTACATTGATTTTTATTTTTCTTATAACTTTTATTTTTTTGCTAGTCATATGGGATATTTTTTCTTTTATAATATATTCTTCTAGGTTTTATATATTTTTTATTAAAATTTCTAAAATTTTTAAACTTTTTATTTTTATATTTTCTTTTGTTAATCCTTCTTTCAGTATTACATCCTCATTGTATAAGGTTTTCCATATCTTAACATAGTTAATTTTCCTGATTTTTTTTAATAATTGTCTTTGTTGATGCAAGTCTTTCAAATAAAATTTTTATTCTTGAACCTAAAGTTCTAGGTATTCCAGTATTATCTCTAATATATTTTTCAAATTCTATTTTAAAATATATTCCCCACGAACTTGGTAATTTATTATAGTACATGTCTTGATATACTTCTTAGTTTTCATTACTATAGAACCGAATATAATAATAATTTCTAAATTCATAAGTATATTCTTTAATTTTACACATATCACATATTATTAAACTTATTAATTTAATTCTAGCATTGTCTTTTTCTCTTATTGCTTCTCTTTCAGCATTTCTTATTCATTTTTCTCCTAAAAATTCATCTGAAATATATTCTACTATCTTTTCTATACTTGTTTATACGATTTTATTATCTCTGTTTGTACATTTATTTTTATTAATGTTTTTGTATTATTACTTATTCCTTCTCAACAATTTCTAACATCTCTTTTAAAATGTGCTATTAAGAAATTTATTCTTCTTTCAATACTTTTTCACGTGTCATCTTTGTTATATAAAAAAGAATAATATCATTGAATCCGTCCAAGTTAATAAAACTTTTTTTAGTATCTATTTTACAATTTAAATCTAATTTTGTTCCTCCGTGATTAATTGACTTATCGTAATTATCATTTAATTCAAACATATCTTTATATTTATTTCCTTAAAGTAGTTGTCTATCTCTTACTTTATCATAAAATTGTCTATATGGATTATTATATATATGTGCATAACTTTCATCTGGATCTTGTAATTCTTGTTTAAAGATTTCTATTGGATTAGGTCTTTCTCCAGTATTCATTAAAACTTAGTATTCACTTATATTAGTTAAACTTAATTGATCAAATTTTTTTATTAGTAAATCTAATTCCTCATTCATCTTTATCTTTTTTTCTTCTATCTTTAATTTTCCTAATATTTTTTTCTCTAGATCATTCTTCTTCTAATATTTCAGGTAATATATTATTTCTAAATTCATTATCCATACTTTCTGTTTCTATTACTATATTATTTTTCTCAATATGTTTCTCTCCTATTCGGGTCATTTCTTTTTTTATTAATTTTTTTCTATTTTATTTTCTTTATTTTTATTATTTTCTTTTATTTCTCTAATTTCAATTTTTAATATATTTATATCATTTATTGTCTCTGATTTCATTTCTTATCGTGTACATCATTTATTAATATTTTTATTAATGACTTTAATTCTTTCATATATTCACTTATTGACATATTAAATCTTTCTAATCATCTTTCTAACATATAAGTTAATTTGCATCTTTTATCTACTTTTTTTTTTATCTATTATTATTCCAAATCTTCTATTAGTATAATCATCTGTATTTACTAATTCTTATTTTACTGTATTAAAATCTTTACTCTCAAGTCTTAATCTTTTACATTTTAATTTTATTAGTTGTCTTTTATTTGATACTCTTATTCATTCTGGTATTAACATTATATCATGTATTTTTCTTGTATTTTTCCATTTTTATAAGTAATTTATTTAATTTCAAATCTTTATTATTACTTGTACTCATACTTCTCTTTATAATATAAATTAATTTCTTTATCTTCATATACTTTAACAATTTTTTCATATATATATTCATTCTTTATTGATCCTATTATTAATTTTTCTAATATTTGTTTTTTTTATTTCTTTGGGTAGTTCCTTAATTATTGTTAATGTCATTAATTTTAATTTATTATGAATATGTTTTAAAAATATATAACTTCCTCTTTCTTCTTCTAAATGTCAATAGTTATTTATTTTCTTTATTTTAATGTTCATGATATCTATGACACTGATATCAATTAGAGGGTGCTATTTTGAGCGAACAAAAATCAAATAAAAAATCTATCAAAATTCTAATAATATTTAATTTTAGGGATTAAAATGGAAGATTTCAATAGTATAGTGACTTATTATGCAATATTCAAAGGGGGGGGGGGGTATTTTAGGTTTTTTAATTTAAATAATTTGGTCAAAGATCATTTTGAAAAAATGACCTTATTGTACAGATCATTTCCTTGTATTTCCCCAATAATGCATCAGTCAAAATGTTGACCGTTGACCACTTTCCCAAACTTTGACACGTGCCCATTTTCTATTAAACATGGGCCTTATCTCACTGGGAGGGTGTTTAGTTGGAATTAAAATTAAGTCCCTATTTGGTTCTCATTATTTTTTCATTAAAATGAAAAATATGATCGTTATTCATCACATTAAGCCACCAAATTTGAATTTATATCTCTTGTGTGGAATCCGTAACAGCTATATTTTTCATTCTCATTCTTCTAAAAATGAGAAACAAATCGGGATTAAATTTTCACTAGATTTTTAAAGAAAATTTTGAAATGTGTGATTAAAAAGTTGTGGAATTCATGAAAAAATGGTTAATATTGATTATTTAATTTTAAATCAAATTTAATAATACATTAATAAATGACATTCACAAACATGCTTCATTCTCATCCAAATTTCTTGTAAAATATAATGCAATCCAGCTACAAAGATTTATCGAGTTTTCGACACGTCCAATCATCAAGACATCAACGTAAAAGCTATATCACCACTGAGAAGATCATCAAATTATAGAACTTTTAAAACATAAGATACTCCTCGACTACCGACCACTATGTGGTTAGAGAAGAATCTGTTTACCCTTTCAACATTTCTAGGTGTCAGCTGTGTAATTTGGACTATACTTACTTCCAAAGCTTACAAAAGATATCTATACAATTACTACGATATAGTCAGTCAGCAGGAATCAGCATAAAGTTGTTCCTCCTCTTACTGCGCAGCAAGGCTGTCACATTTCAAGCATGATTAGCACATCGAAAAATGGGGATTCCGTAATCAGACTCACTATCATCTTCGTCCTGTTAAACAACAGAGGGTAAAACAAAAGGTTATATGAAAAGAACCATTTTTCTGTTGAATCAAACTGAAACCTCTTGCAGAGTTAAGACTGATAAAATGTCTTCAAGTTAACATATACCTCTCCAGTTGGGGTTATAGAATTGCCTCGGAATGTCTTGGAAATATCTCGCATGGTCCCCTGCAGAGTCATAGGACTTCAAGATTTAGAAAGAGAACAGTTCAGAGAGTGTTGAAGCATGTTGAGGTTCAAGAATTTTATATACAAACTATGAGGCCATATTAAAGAGTACTGTACTAATGTCGGTCGATACTGATAGTGCCTGACACACAATTACCACGAGGATAAGTAAATGGCAATGTTCATCATGGCAAGAAAAACAAGACTATGAAATAGCCTTTTTCTTCTCAGAAATCAGATATTCACAATGAAAGTGTAACTACAACTGCTAGAGGGAAGAAGGCAATAGAGAAGAGTAAGTAACCTTGTTTACCCAAAACAGCCCACATGCATTGCAAAGGGTTCTCGGACCAGCTGGCCCTCGCCGCATCATTGGCGTAGTCTTTGAACTGGTGCCACAATGTGTGCACCTGACAGAGGAGACACATGGAGTCACCAAAGAATTCTAATAAGAGTTAGCTATGAATAGGCAAGATCATAAAGGCAGGAAAAAATGGAAAGCATCCTCAATTCTCACGGTAGAAGCTTGTAGCTTAGCAACGTTACTGAACGGAAAAGTCTAAACTAAACTCGACCAATATCAATCCATAACAAGTAACATTTCAATAGCAATACATTTGATGTATGCAAAAGAGCAGAATGTGCCACAGAGAAATAACAAAGGGTATTTGTGAAACAGAACGAGATCTAGAATAGAATAGAACTCACAAAGTATCTTGTTCTTTTTCCTCCTTTCCAGATTCCCGTGTGGCATCCATAGTAATAGATTTCTCAGAATTTCTTGAAGTAAATTGACCCTTCCTGCGCTGCATCCTGAAACATATACACACATCAAAACAATAACGACCAATAAGTTGTACCGGAATACATCAGCAAAATGTGTACAAACTCAACATCCGAAATAATTATTGAAATTCTCCTGCCTGCTAACATAGAAGAGAGATAAAAGTGTACGAACAAATCTTTTTTTATTCAGCACCAGGATAAATGCAAAACCTTTTGAACATTTGCAACGTCAAAAAGAATGAAAGAACGAAAACTCTCTCATCACCTAGTGACTCACAGCCTCCCTCATCTCTGCTACCTTGTGACTTTTCAATTCTCACATTCTCAGGGTGTCTGAAGCATCCTTTAAGCCAAAAAAAGGTGTTGAGAATCAAAAGAGTAACCTTCACAGAAGCATGTATCTGAAAGGACCACATGATAAGATTACCTCAGTTGCCATTCTTCTAACTAATCTCCTACTTACATATCTAATTGGGAGGGATCTATAGCATGTGTCATGGGATGGAAAGAAGGAATAAGAAGATGATTAAGCATCATTGTCGCTAAACAAGGACACAGGAGGTCATCGCTGTATACTCATTTCCTAAAAACTTAAAAGTAGCTAAATTGTCCGGACATCAATCTTTGAGACCTATACCATTCAATTAGAGATTCAACCAGTAGATCAATCACAATGAACTCTTGATTGCTTCCAAAAGTTATAATATTTATTATAACAAACATAACAAGAGAAGTTACTAATGTCTTTCTAAAATTTTATTATTAAAATGTACAAACTGAAGCATCCCCAATTAGCCTTTTTTATAAAATAAGTTCACTCAAGTCAACAAAATGAAACCACAACCCTCGACCAAAATCAACCAGAAGCCGATGACCAATGAACCCAAATGACCAACATCAACCAGCCATGAAATTTAAAACAATGAAAAGATAAATTACAGTGAAAATTTCAAGGCAATAAACTACAATCTCATATGTGATACAATGATAAGTTAAAAAGAAATTAGAAAACATATTTTAATAAATCGTCACGGAAGAAAGTATTGCATGTTGCTAAATAACCATTATCCTGTTACATGGCAAACATGAGTGCTGATAAAGATGCGATGGAAAATAAAGAAAAAATGGCAATATAAATAGAAAATCAATCAGAAATGGACAAATTTCCGAAACGGAAAACTTGTTTTAGGAGAAAAATTCCATGTTTATTAGGTTAACTTGGGAAGTTTATACTTTAATTTTTCACTTTTCTATTAGACCTTTCAAGAATACAACGCTGCATCAGAAATTTTTTGTAATTGATCTTTACAAATTAAAATGTTGACAGAGAAGGAAAGGGAGGTATATACTTTGTTATAAATCATATAGAATTCTGTCCAACAGGAGAAATTGTCATTACAAAATCCCTAGCTTAAAGAAAGTCTCAAATAGATACAATACTCCAAACAATGGGTTTCAGACATTATGTAAGACATCCACCTTCAATAACAAATAAATTTATCTCTATAGAAAAGCCTTGGCCATTTCAATTTTGTAAACACAGACATGTATACAAAATATACTCTGTCCAAGCATTAGATGGCTTATTCTTGTTTTTGCAGAGACATATCATCATGTAGAGACGCCAGTTTTGATTAATAATAAATGGCAATTGCAAGAAAGCAATACCTGAATGCAACTTCTTGCCGGACATTATATCTAATTTTCTTCTCAAAACACCTCTTTTTCCTCTTTTGACGAAACCTATTCAGAGACTCTGCTCTCTTTGGATCACTGCACCATGGGGTATTGCCCATCAAAGCCTAGTATATGTATGATATAACAGCAGTCAATTAGGCAGTCAAGGTAATAAATACGCTCGAAGAACAAAACTCACTATAAAGATAAACTAAATACCCCCTGTCTTTGATACACAGTATCAACACCTAAAAGGCCAGGATCCAATTCACATCCACCCAAAAGTAAAAGCACCGCTTGGACCTGTGATATTTATGATTATGAAAATTCATCAGTAACTGCACTTTGTGGGTTGGTGCCCGTAGACTAAAAAAACTTCCAATTAAAACATTCTGTTCTAAGTGCAGATTTGTTCTGTGCATTTATCCCCCTTTACTTTGGTATTTTTTTTCTAGCAAAATATATATACACATAACTTTTACTATTTCTTAATGTTTTAAAACGCTTAATTACTGTTTACAATGAATAGTCAAGTATAGTTCATTATCATTTTTTTCCTTCTATTTGACAATACAGTGGCACATTATCTACTGCAGTTCCAGAAACATTGAATATCGCCAACAAAACTGAGAAACTAAACAGAATAAGTGATCCCCTCAAAAAATACTCGAAAACAATAAGAGGATCATTTAGCAATAAAAATTTAACCTTTTCAGCGGTAACGCCATCGAACACAAACACCCGGCCTCGGAACGAGAGAGCAACCTGGTCATTACCGTCGGCGGCGCATGGAACAGCCACGTTGGAGCCTTCACCGCCACCGCCATATATTCCGTCGGCTGGATTGGAGACTTCGAAGGTGGCCAAGCCGCCTACACCGCCGTCTTCAAGAGACTGAACATCGTAATCGGTGTCCAAGTTCTCGACCAATCCGTCATCTCCGGCGGCGGCTGGGCTCTGTATCGACGGGTTTAATGACTGATTTTGAGCGGACATTGCTGGCTTCAAGATTGAAAGAGTACCAATGGCGCTTGAGAGAAAGTCGCTCGGAGCATGTTAAACGCATGGGTTCAGTGACTAGTCTAAAAGGTTATTGACAAATTTTGAAAGATTATTCTATATTTTGAGATTTTCCGTAAAAAAATAAAATAAAATAAAAACCTTACCTATTTAGAAAATGAGTAAATTTCACAAAATAGTCATTGAAATTCTATAAAAATTTCAAATTAGTTAATTAGACTTTAACTAAACCTTCATATTGACTACCAATAACTGTTCAAGCAATATATTTTTTCCACATGGACTCCTATTTTAGATCTGTTACGATCATATTTATTATTATTATTTTTTTTTGTTTATGAATGACGAAATATTAGGTTAGGACGTAGGAGTGATTTATGATTTTTTTTGTTGAACGCAGTATTTTCTCCTATAAATCGTATTTTATTATTCAAAGCATATAATTTCACGTTATAGACACAATAATAGCGATTGGATGTCAAGGTTTAATAGACCAATGTTGAATTTGGAGCGAATGCCTCTAAAGTAGAACTAGTATGTAACATTATTAAACTAAATAAATATTTAGGTCACATAAAACAACTTGCAATTTCACTTGAACTTTCCTGACCATTCATTTAAAATATATTTACTAACTTCGAAAATAAAATCTAAATTTAATCGGATATCACATTTTTAACCTTTTTCACAAAAAGGTAATTCGTAAAATAGTGATTATATTTAGACCACAATTTTTATTTCTTGTGTCACTTTTAATTACATTGAAGGAGAAGGTTCTTCATTTTTATTCATTATAACATTTATGTCTCTAACGATTTTTCATGACATTTTTATTTTCACACTTTTCATTAATTAACACAATTTGTATTTGACAATGGTTTATGTCCAAAAAAGTTCGTTGAAAATGCGTATACCAACTTATTTTTCATCATATTTTAAAAAATAAATAAAGACACGAAAAAATACTTTTCTTTCATTTCAAAGCATGAAAACAAAATATTTTGACGTAAATGATCATCAAAGACGAGATGTACTAATTAATGAAAGGTTGGAGATCAGAATTTGACAAAATAAAGTTAAGGAAATAATTGTTATAATGAGCAAAGATTGAGAAACTTAGCCCTTGTTTGCGCCACATTATTTCTATAAGAACGCATTTTTTAATAGTGTATTGATGAGAATAGTGTGATTAAAAAATAAGGAAAAATTCTGAATTTACATGTAATATTATTTTATTGAAAAATGTGTGATTAAATTGATGTCAAACCACTATTTAAAAATGTATTTTTTGAAAGAAAATGGCTCAAACATGCCTTAACTGTAATTAAAATGTGGTGTAACAAATAAGGGCCTGTTTGTGAGCTTTTAATTTGAAAAAGTGAATTATGAAATAGTGATTGATATTGAAATGTGTGATTAAAAGAATAAATTTTTTTATTTATGTGTAATATTATTATAATGAAGAATATGTGGTTGAAAATGAGAACTGTTAAAAAAATAATGTGATAGAATGATTAACAAATAAATGGTAAATATTATGATGTCAATATAACCACCCTTCATAAAAATGCGTGTTGTATATAGAAATATAATTTATTTATTTATTTATTTATTTATTATCAAAACTAGTTAGTAAACATACGTTGCACGTTAATTGATTAATGTTTAAAATAAGTGTATGTAAATTTTAGAAAAATTCTTTTATAAATTTGAAAGGTATTCATAATTTCATTGTAATTGACTTATTTTTCATCAATTTTCTCTCTATATTTTTTATTTTTCACATGAACATTTGAGAATTTGCATATATTTGTATCAGGCATTTTCCTGTACAAAAATTTGTGAGAAAATTTTTTATTCGGAATATATTTCTCAATATATATTTGCTCAACCTAAAATATGATTTAATCCACTCATTCTTTACTCCTAATCCATACTATGATTATAATAATTAAATATCACTAAGATATGCAACATAACAATATCTACACTATTGCATTAAAAATGATTTTTCATGTTGTTAAGCACCATGCAGAATCATAAATTATGGCTTAAAATGTTAAATGCAATTTCATGTATTAACTTTCTTCCAAAGATCTGATTTTGTTGTCTTGGAGCTTGATTGTGAGATTGCAAAAACGTCACTAAAACATTAGAAAATAATGTAGACATGGGCATAACCATAAAGGGAGAAAACCTCTTCAAACATTTCAAAGTTTAACTAAAAAGAATTTTAAATCGAATAATAAATTATTTATAATATGAAGAAAAAAAGAAATTTTAAAATAGTTTTTGAAAAATATAATAAAAACAAAACAAATTAAAAAAAAAAAGAGAGTCACGAAAATTAAATAAAGAATATATAAATATTATTGAATTAGAATTGAAAAAAAAAATAAGTTTTATCATAAAGAGAAAAGAATTAAAAATTATTTTTCATCGTAGGAGTAAAAATGACGTCGTGTTGTCTTCAATCATTTCTCCATTTTCGCATGTTAGTTCATTACAACTATCACCTCGATTGCAATATTTCTCAATTTTCATACTCTACTACACTTCATCCAATCCAATACTAATAAACAAAAGAAACTAAATGATTTAATAAATTAAAGAACAAAAAAAAAAAAGAATTGCAGGCAAAAATAGAAAAAATTAAAAAAATATTTTATTATAAAGTTTCTGAATTAAAATTAAAATAAATATTATTTTTTAATTAAAATTGAAAAAAGTACATTTTATCATAAAACAGAAATAATTAAAAGAATTTTAGATAGAAAAACATATTTATAATATGAAGAAAAGAAATTTTAAAATAATTTTCAAAAAAGAAATAATAAAAACAAAACAAAAGAAAGTTACGAAAATTAAATAAAGAATACATAAATACTATTTAATTAAAATTGAAAAAAATAAGTTTTATAATGAAGAGAAAAGAATTAAAAAAATTTTAATCGAAAAAAATTATTTATAACCTGAATAAAACAAATTAAAAAAATAACTTAGAAAAAAAGAAAAACGAAAAATAAAATTCTCCATTGAGAACCCCAAACGTCCATCCATGATGGAGGTTTTTTCCAAAAACTTCTGAAAACTCCATCATTTTCTCCAAACCTCTTAAGATCCATCATGGATGGAGGTTCCTTGATGATGGAGGTTTTCTCCAAACCCCCATACTATTAAAAAAAAAAAAATCTTAAACTTGATGAAAAAGGCAAAAATAGAAAAAAGATTACTATAAATTTTTTTAATTAAATCGAAATAAAAAATTAAAATGAAATATTATTTTTTAATTAAAATTGAAAAAAATATATTTTATCATAAAACGAAAATAATTAAAAGAATTTTAAATTGGAAAAAATATTTACAATTTGAAGAAAAAAGAAAATTTAGAACAATTTAAAAAAATATATAATAAAAACAAAACAAATTAAACAAAAGAAAGTTACGAAAATTAAATAAAGAATATATAAATATTATTTAATTAAAATTGAAAGAATTAAGTTTTATCATGGAGAGAAGAAAGTTAAAAAGAATTTTAAATCGAAAACAAAAAATTTATTTATAACATGAACAAAATAAATTTAAAAATGAAAAATGAAAAATAAAATTCTCCATCCAGAACCCCAAACCTCCATCCATGATTGAGGTTTTCCATCCAGATGGAGGTTTACAGAAAAACCTTCATCATTTTCTCGAAACCTCTTAAGAAAAACCTCCATCATGTCCAATCTCCATCCTATTCTTTAAAAAAAAATCTTAAACTCGATGAAGCACGCAAAAATAGAAAAAGCAAAAAAAATATTATTATAAAGTTTTTTAGTTAAATTAAAATAATTAAAATTAAAATTAAATATTATTTTTTAATTAAAATTGAAAAAATTATATTTTATCATAAAACGAAAATAATTAAAAGAATTTTAAATTTGAAAAAAAATATTTATAATATGAAGAAAAAAAGAAAATTTAAAACAATTTTCAAAAAATATATAATAAAAACAAAACAAATTAAACAAAAGGAAGTTACGAAAATTAAATAAAGAATATATAAATATTATTTAATTAAAATTGAAAAAATTAAATTTTATCATAGAGAGAAAAGAATTTTAAAAAAATTTAAATCGAAAAAATTATTTGTAACATGAACAAAATAAATTGAAAAAAGAAAAAAATGAGAAAAAACGAAAAATAAAATCCAAAATGGAAAGTTTTCTCCATCCAGGACCCAAACCTCCATCGTGCCTCCATCCACGATGGAGGTTTTTTCCAAAACCACCATCATGAATGGATGTTTTTCTTCAAGCTCCAAACCTCCATCCAGATGATGGAGGTTTCTCCAAACCTCCATCCTATTCTAAAAATAATAATAATAATAAATAAATAAATAGACATGAAGTCTTGCTAACAAGGAAAAGTAAAATGAGATCATGCATGGCTAGTATCCTTTCCAAGCTAGAAGTGTATTGTAAGGATAAGGACCTTCCTTGCCGCAATAATAAAACCACCAGAACAATAGACTAACTGATTTGGTGATCTTCTTCAAATTAGCAAGAGAGAAAATATACAAAATTAACTAAATTATGTATCCTTAGGGCAATTGCCAATGTTGAATGTGAAGCTCAGAATGTTGTTGAGCTGCAGCTCTATTTTCAATTACTTCTTTTTTGAAATGTAGCATAAAATTCGTCAATTAGCTTCTCTCTCTCTTTTAACTCCTATTTTATAAATTGCTGAGTTATGTAATTAATAATTAAATTTACTAGTGGACTAATCAGGAAGAGATGCCATCTTTTTCAGGACATAAACTTCATATACTGTTTGTGATATCGAATAATTTAGACATATCTAGACATGAAATTTTGAAACATCAAATCAAAAATCAAATAAACTCTATGATAAAAAAGAAATCTCCAAATTTCAAAACATTAATCATCTAACTGCACTGAGCTCCTGCTCCTGCTGGATGGAATTTTGCTCAGTTGCACTTATTTTGAGTCAAATTCATCATTTTAATATCTAAACTTCTCTGCAAATTCAAATCAAACTAAAGTATTA